CAAACCAGGAGCAGGGGGGGAGAGAGCAGAAGGCAGCCTTGCAGCACAGCCAGGTTCCTGGCGTGTGGTCGCAGACGGTGCTGGCTCCTGGCCAGCTCTCAAGTGCCAACCCAGTGGAGGAGCAAGGTGGCCTTGTGGCTACGGGGGCTGACGGCTCCGTGTGAGGGGAGAAGCCCTCTCCACAGCAAGGCGCTTGCTGGGACGTGCTCTGGAGGTCAAAGCAGTTTCCCCATCGCTCACCAACTTGCCCTACCTTGGCAGCCACCTGCCCGCCCCGGGCCTCTGTTCGCTGCAATCGGGACATCTCCCCTGCCCACGCGGAACCTGCTCCCCTTTTGTGGGATCTTGTTTTCCTCCCAGCCTGGCCCCAGCACTCAGGATTTGGCATGTCTGCAGTAGAGGTAAAGCATGGGTACATACGCAAATACCTCTGCCTCCTTCCTCGTTATTTTTGACTTGTGCACATAAATATCCATTTCATGCTCAGCTGATGGAGGATTTGCTTGGCTGGGTTACGACCCTGGCTGCCGCTCTGCAGCTGGCTATGTACCAGGATCTGGCACTGGAGGACACAGTCAGTCTCTGACCCACCTTCCATCATCACTCCTGGGCTTGGATGAGCACACTGGGACACGGCTGCTGGGCACCACTGCTGCACGCAGCACGGCACCATCCACCACAGCCCTGGCAGTCCTTTCCCTCTGCTTGGCCCTGCAAGACAGTATTGGGGCACAGCAAAGGCTGTGCGGGGAGAGGGACAAGGAGGGACCAGTGGTGCAGAGAAAATACCATTCCTGCACAGCTCCACAAGTCTCGCCTTCCTCTCTCCCTCTCCCACCGGCGCTGCATGTCAGCCTCGTCCAGAGGGCTCAGCTTCAACCCTGGCTCCATTCAGTTCTCAGGCTGCGAGCATGTGTGCGTTTGCCCTTGAGTTAATTCACACTGGTGCCCGTTCAGCCAGGTCACGGTGTTGGCAACAACACCCTTGGATGGAGAATCTTGCAGGAGGGCTCGGGGTACCAGCCGTCCCGCTGGTCTCCTGCCCCAGAGCTGGCACGTCCCTGCGGGGCTGCCTCCCCTCACCCTGCCTCAGGCCTCCTGCCCGCAGCTCCAGGAGGAGAGAACACCAGAAACAGCAGCTGGGTGCTCTGTGCCTGCACAAAAGGGACCCACCAGCCGGGCCACGCACACCTTGCTTTTCCCACATGTAAAATGGGAGCCAGGCTCCCACAGTGGCCAAAGGCACCGACTGCTCTTTTGCATTGCATCGAGGAGGAAAAATGCTGAGCATCAGATGTCTCACGAAAGGGATCGGACATTATCCCATGCTGTGGCCAGGAGAAGGGCACTTTCACCCATCCTTTGCTCCTGGGTGCCCGCAGGGTTTCATGCTCCGCAGCCTTCTCCACTGCAGCTGGTGGCAGGGAGCAGCGGGGTCCTTTTATCCCTCAGCCCCAAGGGGCTGCCCTCTCACTCGGGGAACAGGGCACACATTTTAAATCCAGAACATCATGCACAGACCAGTTAAAAACAAACAACCCAGGTGAGAGCACAAAACAGATTCCAGCAAAATCACGGGACAGAGCAGCGTGCCTCACTGCAGGTTTTACTTTCACACATCTTTTATGACCTCTTGGCCAGTCCTGGTTTTTCTATTCCACAGGAAATTCCAACATCAAAAAACCCAAAACAGGCCAAATTTAGAGGGTTTGGTTGTTGGTTTTGGGGGGAGGGTTTCAGAAACTTTAAAGAAAAAGGAAGAAGCTGTAATTCTAGAGCACTGGATTCGGGACCAAGGACTGTAAGAAGAAACACTCACAGCATCACAACGTCCCAACCTTTCTGTACCCAGGCAGTATCCTTCAACCTCTGACAGGAGACAGGCAGACCAGGGCTCTGTGGCTGGGATTCATTATTTAGAAGGAGAACCCTCATCACGTCCATAAAAACAACCCCCTTAAAAACCCTGCCTGGAAGAGAGAATAATTATTCAGCCCGGAGGACTAATTTGATGTGGAAAAGCAAGGAAGAGGGCTGGTTCTGGCTTGTCCTCCATGGCTTGCGCTGGCTGGCCAGGAGGGAACGGTTTGCCCTCTAATTCAAGCTGGGCCTCCAGTTCTGAAGACATTTCCAGCGGCAGCGTTTGGAAGGCACAGAGGACCCGTGCTACCCGCTCCAGCCATGCAAAAGCCATCAGCCTCAGGCTCAGCTGTGCCAAGAGAAGCCTGACAGCCCCCACCACCTTCTACAAGACTGATTTTCCTCTATTTCCATTTAGCAGATCCTGATTAGTCCAAAAAGAAGATGAACGTGGCTGCTCTGGCCCAGCAGGTTATACAGACTTCGTCAAGCACAATCCTCCTTATCAGGCCACACTGGAGGGCGGCAGAGCTGTGTGTGGCACTGATAACTGATCTGTTATCACCCATGTCTGCAAGCAAAGCGGAGAGGGTACCGACTGCTTTTACCGCACCTGCAACCAGAGCTCTCCAGTAGAGAGGGCTTTTTTCCCCCCTTTATTTCTGTTATGGAAGGAAAAAGTTGTAGAAAATTTGCACCCTGGTCCAAGAGTCCTGACCTGGAGTTTTACTTCTCCCAAAAGAAGTTTAACATCCAAATGGGTTGAAAAGCCAAGTGATTCCCCATGGATGCTACCATGCCATAACTGAGCCTCACGTACAGCGATGGCATCACAGCCCTGCACGGGCACAGGCTGGGGCGCTTCCCTGCCTGAGAAAAGGAATCAGCTGCATGTTGGAAAGGGCAGTATTTCCCAAAACCCAAGTGCCCTGACTCTACCGTCCTGCATTCAGTGCACATAGACCCATTTTTGTGATGAAGATCTGGCTGCTGTCCCTGCGGAGCTGCCTGCTCTCTGGGGCAGCTTCAGCAGGGACCAGACACTGCTGGCAGAGCTCAGGACTGACCTTCAGCAGCGAGATCTCCAGGGCCTGAAGTCCAGCAGGATTTTTCCCTGCAGTAAGAACAACTACTGCAAAGCTATTAAAAAACCCAGTTCTGTGGTTAGAAGTAGGAGAGAAGTTGCAAGGAGTGCCTGTGCTCGGTGCCCTGGGTTTACATTGCAGGAGAGCTGAGGACAGATCCCAATCTCCCCCACAAAAACACAATGGGCGGAATTTTTTCCAATAAACCACGGGAGGTGCAGAGCATGACCTCACCAGTCAGAAATGGAGGAATCGAGAAGGCTGTGCACAGGCAGCAGGCTAGGACAAGCAGAGCCAGTGAGGCTGTAGCTCCCCGACCCGCGGTGCTGACGTAAGGGCTTGATGCTGCCAAAAGGCAGAGGTCCGGCTCACCCAGCGCCCACCGGGACCTTCTGTGGGCCAGCCTAGCTCCTTAATCCAGCAACAATAAAATGCTTTTCTGCCAGGCGAGTGAGTTGCGTCAGCTCCCGGCAAGGAGTAAGAAGTACCAGCCCAAGCTGAGCACAGCAAGCGCTGCAGCTCCCCTCCTGGAGCACCAAGCTGCTGGAACAGCTCCCATCCCCGTGTCCCCAGAGCGGCCAGGGGAACCATGTTAGGGCACAGGGTGAAACCAGCAAAGAAATCCCATGTGCTGAAAAACAGGGAGCCAAAGCACAAGGGAAGAGCAGAGGGGAGCTGAGCTGCCTGGGGCTGGAAGAACAGGTTGGGTGCTGCAGCCGGGCAGCCCACCCACCTGTGCAAAGGATTAGAGCAGCTCCCATCCACAGAGCTGTTTTCAAGGAGGCTGAGTGAGCTGGAGAAGGATCAGAAGCTGCAGAGACCCAGGGGCCACGTAGGGAGGGAAGGCACCACACTGGCCCAGGGCAGGGTAACCCAGCACTTAGAGGGCCACCAGGACTGGGACCTGCCAAAGAGCAATGTTTCCTCCAGCAAACAAAGGCCTTGCTCCAAGAAAGCATGCTTCCTCTCGGCTCACAGCACGGCGAGCACGTCCAAGCAGGTAACTCACTACTCTGGAGACTCATGTACTCGTGAGATGAGCTCTTCTTACCAGCTCAGGAAGGAATGGCTTGCAAACGGCACAGACGAGCGCATGGCTTGACCTTACCGCAGCACGCAGGGTGCAAATGGCAGATGAGGCTCCTCCAATTACTCATGCTTCAACGGTGGGGTTGTGTTTGCAAAAGCACTTTGCACACAACCGCCTTCACAGCTGGGGAAGAAAAATAGATGGCTTGTGCTTGGAGAGCTGGGGAACAGAACTGCTTTGGGGGCCTGGTGACAACACCCAAGGACTGCATTTGGGTGCAACCCACCATCCCCACCAGCACCTCTCCTGGGTCCCTCTGCAAGTCACGCAGGGCTCGCAGCCACCCTCGCATTGCCCAGCACCCTGCCCAGCACTGACCTGCTGGGGACATATGAAATCCTCGGAAAAGAGAAGCTGTTTGGTGCTGCCCACCCTCACATGGGCAAGAGAGAGCAGCGAGGGAGAAGGGGACAAGCGCCTTGTTGACCACAGGGCTAGAAATAATTTCTCTTCTGGGAGAGCCTGGAGCTAACCACAGCAGGGATTAATTTTGGCCAATTAGAGAGCAAAACCAGTAAAACAGCACAGGCTTCAAAGCACATCCATGCGATACCAACACTGACTGGCGAGGGTGCTTGCCTACTCTCTTTGTCTCAGCAATGAGTTCTCAGTTGCTATTTAAGAGCCTCACAGCAGCTTCAAGTTGTAGGAAAACCAAATGGGCAACTGATAAGCAAACCCGGGTGCACCCGTCTTCCCAGGGCCACACAGGGCTCCAGAGCAGGCGATGCCTCACCCTGCTCCAGACAGGCACAAGCCACTTTTACAATGCAATTTGAGTCACTTCAGCTGATAAACAAATAGGATACTTAAGCACGATTTGCAAGTTACACAACCCCAAATATCCAACTGACCCACTTCTCCCAGGTCGGTTGTGCTTTCCTCAAACGAAGGCTGTTCACAATCTCTAATCCACTTTGCATGTTGATTAAGCAGAGCTAGCAGCAGCTGGGTCCCGCCTGTACCTGTCAGCCCGAAGAGGCTCTTACTGTAGCAGTGCTTCCAGGGCAACTGATGACTTCAGCCACTGGACTGTTTTCACAGCAAGACCTCGGGAGAGGCACCGGGACGCACTGCGGATCACGCTTGGCAGGCATGTGCACGTGACTGTAGCAAGACACAGCATCCTCCAGAAGCTGGGAAAAAACACATTTTTTTTTTAAAGGCAAACAGTGACCAGCTCCTTGCTGACCCATTCTGAATTAGAACCTTCAAAGAGAACATTGACATTATTTTTGCAGAAGCCACAAAGTCAAAAAGATGTAAAATTCCCTGGAAAACAAAGGCAGAAAAGCCCATGGAGAACCGCCCTTCTTCCAGGCACTGCACTCGCGCTCCTCGCAGCCCCACGAGCACCACCCCGTTTCAGCTGCCTCCCCATTGCCCTCCAGCCAGCCTCTCCCGACACCTGACCGGCTGTGATAGGAGCGGTGACCAGCAGATACCACCCTTCAGCCAAGAACAGCTCTCTTCTCGGATGTAAAGATGGAGCTCCAAAACCTCCAGAGACCCCACCAGCAGCCGGAGAGGAGTGTATGCTCCTCCGCATCTCAAGCCACAGCAATCGGGTCCTCACGAAGATACCCAGCTCTCCTTTGGGCACTGCTCAAGTGCTGCAAGTGCTGGAGCAAAGCCAGCATTGCTGGGTTTGGTTCTGCTCAGGAATTCATTCTTAATGTGACACTTAGAAGCAAAATTTAGTGAGGAAGAAATCCTGTATTTGGCCAAGGAGCCAGGGTGGCCACCATGAACCGAGCAGTTTCTGCAGCCCTTGCTATGAGTGATAAGCACAGGGAACACACACATCCCAGCAAGCAGCATGGGTTCCCGGCTTTTCACAGCACACTGGCCTCAGGCTTGGCTTGGGAACATCACAGAATCACAGAATGTTTTGGGTTGGAACGGACCCCTAGAGGTCATCTAGTCCAACCCCCCTGCAGTGAGCAGGGACACCGCTAACTACATCAGGATCTAGATCAAATGGAAATTCCCTCTACCTGTGAAAGGAAATCTAGGAGCCAGGCTCTCTGCAGTGCAAGTGAAAAGCTTCCACTTGCTGTTAGCAAGGGTACATTTTACTAGCCAGGTGGAAGGGAACATGGCACATACAAGTTAACCCCTCCAAGTGACCTCTTCCAAGTACTAGCACTGGAAGTGGGTATGAACTGTATCAAATCTATGGCAGAGCTGCCTCCCCCCGGGCACGCAGGCACATTGCTTATGAGTAGTTCCCAGCTGGGCACTGGCCAGGGCCGAGCATCATCACACGGAATGCATGGCGGGCCTGGCTGATGGTTGTGTAATGCCCAAGCGACCTGGGCTGCTGCCAACACACTGCCCAGGGATCTTCAACGGGAACGTAATCCCACCGAGGCATCGCTGCCCACGCATCTGATTAAAGGAAGAAAGTCTCCCAGTTTTCCCGTTTCAGTGAAATTCAACCCTTCCATGGAGCTTCACACCCTCTGGTGGAGATGAGAGCTTGGCACACAAAGATGCTCCAAATCCTTCAGCACGGCTCAATTAGAGAAGAAATTACCTTACAGACCCCCAAAGCACCACATCTAGAGAGCACTACGCACCCCCAGCATCTGACTGCCCCAGGCACAAGCCACAAGTCTCAGCGTAGTAGTAGTTTTGTATGCCTACTTGCCTGTATCCACACTAGCATCATATTAAAAAAAGAAATCTTTCTACTTTGTTCACACACAATAGCAAGGATTAAATATGAAGAGAGGAAGAAAGTCAACTTTGAGAAGCAGATTTTATTCATGTTTACCATCCAGTTAGGCAAAATTACTTTCTATAACCTAAAAAGACCACACAGGTATAGCCAAACTGCAGGGGTAGCACTCTCACCATCTTGCAGAATGACCTCCTGGTCCCGCCACCTGAAAAGAAACAAGCAGGACATTCAGCCACAGCAAGGACACTGCAGGGAAAGCTGGGCACAGGCACCAGATGTCTGCTCCAGGCAGTCAGACCACACGAGGCTGTCACAAACAGCTCGCAGTCCAGGGCCCTCCTGCAAATGGTTACGCAGCATATCAATTAAATTGAGAAAATGCTTTCTTGTTTAAAAGTTAGCTGACAGATTTAAATAACTTTGTTTTTAAAATTAAGATTCTTCAAACTTAGAAGATACTTTTCTGACTTATATCCAACTTTTCCCTCCTTTATTAGAAACGTGACAAGTTCTAAATACAGCAAACTTTGTAAGTTTTGAATTTAAATGATAAATACAGCTCATTTTCAAAGTGCAACTAAGATCAGTATGCTTGCAATTGCCCTGTCCAGGGCTCCATATGCTTTATTCTGACAGCCCATGTGGCCGAAAATACCTGTTGGTAACCCAGGGAAGAGTGACATTAGTGAAAGGGAAATGCTTGTTCAAATAATGAACTGATCTAAGGGGTCAGTCTGCAGCAGGACCCAAGTGAAACATCTACCTGCAGCCTGAGACTGTCAGACTTGGGTCAGTTCAACATTGCAAATTCAAAGCATACAGCTTTGTGTCTGGTGAACAGAGTTCAGCTTCACTCAGCGTAGGACACGTTACCCGGTCAGGGTGTTAGCCAGAAATCCAGCTGAAGCTAGCGACCACTGCCCCCCACAGACCCATCTTCTCTCCATCAGCATCAAGTGAAGCATCTAAGAGAAGCAGTGACCCACCCCCAGCTCTCTTTAAAATCCTTCCCGATAGCACTTCTACCATGAAAACTTCCAACACCACACCAGTGCCGAACACCACTTTTGGCACCATCTCCTTTCCAGCTGGGGGGAAGCTACTCTCAAGCCTGCGGTGTCATAGTATCAACCCAAGCACAAGCCTGATCATATCAGGCATGGGAACATGACCATGTTTCTGCCAAAAGCGTCCTAACACACAGCCCAGAACATATGTTGGTTGATGCTGTCAGCAGAAGGTCAGATATGCGGCCAGCAGAAAGCCTGTCAGCACAGCAATAACCTCCTTGACTGGTTTGAGCAAATCGGAGCCAGCAAAGTGAGCTGATACTGGATCAGTGCTGTGTCATGGGGACGCAGCACTCGGGTCTGGCAGCAGAAGGCCCCGAGCCAGAGATGCTGCTTCATTTCTGCTGAGGAGGCACAGTATGAATGGCATTTCTTCAAAAATATACACCATACTGTTGCAGTTACTCTGGCAGAATCAGCTGGGTAAGAGATAAGGTGGAAAAATCACCACGTAAAGGACAAGCAGGTGCAACACAAAGAATTAACAGTGAACTTGTTAAACCATCAGGCTCCCAAATTAACACCCCACTAAAATTATCAGGGACAGTTCACACATCTGGTTAAAACAGCATGAAACTGGACAGAGCAATAGCACATTAGAGCTCCCAAGACAGACCCATCGATCACATCCTTCTAGCTCAGGTGCTGCTGGCATGCAGTGCCCCTGTTTTTAAGATCCAATTGGAAATTCAGCACCTGACAGCTTCTGCATGGACACTGTGCACACCTCAGTCTCTACAGCACAGCGAAGCTCCCCCCGCAAAACAAAGGCACCGCAGTGGGGAGCAAAGGGGGGCAGAAAAGTTGTTTTTCTTCCCAGACTACAGAGTCCTTCCTCTCCCTCCCAACCCTTGATACCGTTAGCTTTCCCATTACTTCATTAATGTGCTAGAAAGTTACTTATTTTTCTCCCCTCAGCTTGTATTTGCTGCTTTATTGGGTTTAATCTGCTCACAGATAGGCCTGACAAATCCCAGTACCAGGTCAAGGTGAGCAACAGAAGCATTTTGATGGGACTGGGGGCAGGGAGGACCGCTCATTTCAGCGGCAATGAAATATTAATTCATTTTATCCCAAACTGTGCTGAGACAGCTTGCCAATCGCCGACAGATCAGCTGCAGCCACACGTAAAGCACAGTCTGATGGCAAAGCTGGTTTAAAGAGCACCTCCTTCCTCCCACTGTCTGACAGCTCCTCAGTTGTACAGGAGCAACCATCTGGGGTGACCTTGCTGTGAGCCAAATCACCTAACTAGCACCAACAACAAACAGGAAACGTGCTTTTTGGGTTTTTTTTTTTTGCAAAGAATTTTTGTCAGAAGCCAGCATCACTTTGGTGCCAGGCTCACAACCTTTCCTGCTCCCCTTCCCATGCTTGCGAGAGCACGTGCTCACCTGAGCTGTGACCCCAGCTGAACTCCCCAATTGTTGAGAGAAAAAACAAACAGTAAAGAGAACCACAAACATGACAAGAGAGCAAAGTACACACCTTCCAACAAAGCCTTACAATTTGTTCAAGTAAAGAAACCACCTTATCAGTATTTCCTACTACATGGGAAACAAAGTTTTGGAATTCAGATAGTACCAGTGACAAATCAAGTGAAAAAAAAAAATTATGAGCAATTTATCCAAGTTCTGTTTTCCACACCTGTAAAGCTTGACTGCAAAGGAAGGGCAATGTCAGTTTAACTTTGCTAGGGTATTTTCAAAAGAGTTGGTGTATGTCAAAAGAACCAATGGAAAAGCTGGTTTTTCCCAGGCTCAGGTAGGAGCCTGTTGTATGCAGTATCATACATGACCACCAAAACGCTGCATGGATGCTCACACCTGTTACTGCACAGGATGAACCCCAGCATGGAGCCCGCTGGGGAGTTGATCTCGGGCACGGGTGAGGCTGGCTGGTACCAGGCAGGGCTCGCCAGCCCCACCACCCAGCACACAGTGCTCTCTCACCTCAGAGCTGGAGGCACCGAGGGCCAACATAGCCGCCCGTGGCCACTGTTCGGGGCTGGGGCTTCTCTGGGGCCAAGCCCCGGCAGGGAACCCCGTGGCACACCAAGTTCTGGGAAAATTCACAAGAAAAAAGAAAACAGGCCTGGCTT